ATAAACGCAGAACAAACCGTTATACCGTTTTAACAAACTCAATAAGCAAAGAGCGAAAAGCAACCGGTTACGATGACAATTCGACGGTGAATGATGTTTAATATATATAATACAACAAATATATGAATTTAAAAATATTAGGTTCCGTCGTTTCTGTAGAAGATCTACTAGAAGTCCTCCACAAAAAGGTGTTTGGCGGTGAAAAAGATATTTCTGATCCAAATTATCTGAAATAAAAAAAAGAAAGAAAGATTAGTTTTAGGATAGATAAATACAGGATGGATCGAAAAAATAGTCAAAATTTTTATTATAGGCAAAATGGCGGCTTCCCAACAAAAAATTTTTTTTGTGCACGAAAATTTACACCTTAAAGTGACTTAAAGATCAAAATTTTATTTCTTCGATCGTTGCCTGACAAAAGTATCTAAGAAGATCCTGTGAAATTTTTAAGCCAATCGGTCAAGTCGTTTCAGAGAAATATTCCTCACCGACTTTGAAAACGGAGTTTCGAAAAACGCAGTTTTGCTGCTACTCCGGGTTACGGTTCCGCCTACTTTCAAACGCTCGGAGACGCCTTTACAAATACCCTCATTACTCCGAAACTACTTACCGGATTACTTTGAAATTTACAGAAAATATTCTCGAATATATATACATTCAAAACTAATATTTGTACTGATACTCATTCTGATTATTTTACTCTTTGTTTGCAAACAAACTTTAAACGCGTTTTTCTTAAACACACACTTTTTTAAACTGGCGGACATGATTCCGGTCGAACTACTCAACCGTTTGCTTAATTGTTTTTTTAACTGTTCACAGTTAATCGTCCTTACTAGAACATGGGGAAATAGGGAAACATTAATTACTTTTTTATTTATCAACATTTTTTCATGATTCTAGGAGGGCCGATAACCGTTCACGTACTTTTTAAGAATAAATTGGGTTTTTGTGTTTAAAAAGGTCCATAAATGAGAAATCGTGTCCGCCTGTGCAAAAAAGCATCTCATTCACCCAGCCGTTTCTCCGACAGATGCCACCAAAAATCGCCGAAAAAAATTTTTTTATACACTCCACGATATACCTCATGATATGTGGAAAAAGTTCTATTGTACAATAAAAATTTATATGAAAAAAAAGTCAAAAAACTGGCCAAATTACCCAATTGCAACTTGAAAGCAAATTTTTTAAAGTAAGGCATAGCTAAAGTTCTATGTGAATCTGTAATTTAAATTCTCCGAGATTATTTTTAGAAAGAGATATCCAGATATAAATTTAAATAGCTATTGTTATACATGCAATATCCCGTGACAATATTTAGCAATACAAATTTTCAGACATCAGCAATTGCTTGCCGAGACGCCCTGTTAAGGGCATATGTGTCCAAATTTGCTAATTTTATCGGAGTTGCTTGGCAACACTGTGTAAACATTTATTCAGGTTAGAATTTGGCAATGGCTTTGGACAGTGGTGCTTCTATTGTTTGCCCAACACTAGCAGGTAAGAAATTTCCAGATTTCATCGAATTTCCTCAATATATGTGATATTCACATCTGAATTATGACTGATTGATTTATTGATTTCAATTTAGTTCGTTCTAATGTTGGAGTGGAAGTATGGTCGTGCGAAAACTTGAGTTTGCAATATGCGTATAAACCAAATCTTCCAAAAGAAGACTGCAAAAATTGTCGATCTATATCGTTTAGTGCGGATGGTAGATATTTTGCTTATTCAAATGGAACTGAAATTAAAGTACTTAAAACCAATGATTGGGCGATTGAATGCACACTGCCACGTCCAAAAGCCTTCTACCTCAAATTTTCACCGCTTGGAAATTACTTAGCAACATGGGAATTATATACTGTTACCAAAGACAAACCAGAGGGTTCATGTAATATGTTCATATATGAACTTAGTTCTACTTTGGAGATGTTTGCTACTGTGCTGAAAAATCCTACCGATTGGGAACCGTCGTGGTCGTCTGACGAGTCACTTTTTGCTATTGTTATAGGTGGTGAAGCACTGTTTTATGAGATATCAGAAGATATAACGAGTTTTCTCCGCTATTCACGGAAAATTGGTGGTAACAGAGGAGCGGTGGTGTCATTGTCCCCAGGAGCTTGCCCACCTTATGTTGCGGTATATACACCCGGCCGTAAGGGAGGACCGTCAATGTGCAAGCTTTATAAATATCCTTCCCTTTTACCTAACCAAGCAATTGCTTGTAAAAGTTTTTTCCAAGCTGATCGTGTTGATTTACTTTGGAACAAACGTGGATCCGGGATTCTACTATTTACATCTACAGAAGTTGATAAAAGTGGGGCATCATATTACGGAAATCAAGCATTACATTTTATGGCGACCAAGGGGGATTCTTGCTCAGTACCTTTATGTAAGTAAAATATCATTACATGAGAATGAATATATTTATGAATATCTCTCATGTAATCAGTAAGGCAACGCTATTTATTCAACATTCATCATGAAACTCCTCTAGTATAGTTTTGTGACAAAGAGACTTAATATCGATGAATCTATAAAAACATATTTTAATTCGGAATTGGTTGTCAGAGGGGTGACAAATAACTACGGTGAAAAATGATTCATGTGGACGACCTTCGGTTCGAGCACATATTATTACTGTTCTCTACTTGCTTGCTCGAAACAGTACGTTTCATGGCCCTCCCGTTAGGTGATATCGACGACAACGCAAGTGACCCTTAGATAACCGTTAAAACAACAACAACTGTTGTCTACTCACTAGGAACTCAGACTGCCTTATATCATATGGCCTGGTAATAAGTACGTTATAATTACCGATTCAATAAATGTAACGGTAAAGCAAACATTGTTAACAAGGCTTTATTCCTGTTTTACCGTGCATTATTGCAGTGAAAGCTTAAAAATTTGGTAGTTTTTCCTTCGTCTATATTCATTGTTTTATATCGTTTGGTGAAGTGCTTCTGATAATTCAGCAGAAATACACTTTTACTTTTTCGAGTAAATTATGTATTTTTCACACTTGCAGGCACGAAGAAACGTGTTTGTCGCTTGCATTATAATCCCTATATCTCAGTTATCAACATTCATAGAATACATAGACAACCGTTGAAGTCATAGAACCAACATCGTGATACAGTGAGACAAACTTGAATAATAAAAAATGTGTATTTAACTTGCGTTTTTGGTTAAAATCACATTTTATTGATAATCTACATAAAATACAATACATGAACTATCTGAACGGTCGTCAGTCATCCGTACTATTTCGAGGCGCAACATCTAAACTGAGAAGAATTAAACAGGGGGTTACGCAGGGTGGTGTTATCTCCCCGTTACTGTTTAACTTCTACATCTCGAAACTCCCGCAACCACCAGAGGGGATTTCCATAACTTCGTACGCTGATGACTGTACGATATTGACGTCGGGCAATGGAAKCGATGGYATGTGYKSGAAGGTAAACAACTACCTCTCCGACCTTTCTCGTTTCCTCACTGCACGGAACCTGCAACTTTCCCCTACCAAATCCACAGCGACTATATTCACGAACTGGACGAAGGAGTATAGACTGGAACTTAATATTGCAGTCGATGGCGTCAAAATTCCGACTATCAATAATCCTAAAATTTTAGGTGTAACCTTCGATAGTCTATGCTCCTTCTCTCCACACACGACCGCGATTATCGCCAAAGTACAGAGCCGCAACCAAATCCTCAAGTGGCTAGCCGGCAGCACATGGGGAAAAGTCAAAGAAACGTTGTTTGTAACTTATAAGGCAATCGGCCGGCCGGTCCTTAACTATGCAGCACCCATATGGHCGCCTGGATGCAGTGGCACGCAGATGAGGAAACTACAGACCTGCCAGAATACAGCACTCCGGACCACGACGGGATGCCTCTTGATGTCTCCCATCGAACACCTACATAGCGAGACGCATATGCGCCCAGTTAAGAAGCATAATGAACTCCTCTCCAAGCAGTTCCTACTGGGATGTTTTCGTAGAAATCATCCTTGCAGTCATCTGCTTGGAGCGGAACCGCCTCCTAGGAGCATCAAGAGGTCATTCCTTGATCACGTCGACATCGAACAATACGCCTCGTACGCTACAGACTTCCGACAGGCACTGACTGCCATTCACAGTGGAGCCATCAACACCTTCACCGACTCCCTCCCCATGAATGGCGTACTTGGAGTCAAATCACCACCCATAGCAGACGAAGAGCTCGAGTTGCCGCGAGAAACGCGAGTGACCCTTTCGCAACTTCGTTCTGGATATTGTAGCAGGTTAAACTCCTACCTATCCAGAATAGACCCTGACATACCCAACGTATGTATGTCCTGCTGGCAACGAGTCTCCGCATGACACTGACCACCTCTTTGTATGCCCAACCAACCCCACCCATCTAACACCCTTTTCGCTTTGGTCCGACCCCGTCGAAACAGCCCGTTTCCTTGGCCTCCCGTTAGATGACATCGACGACAACACTGATAACCCTCACCATCCCAACGGGGACTGATAACCCTTAAAACAAAAACGACCGATTTCTCGGTTTTTCTGTTTTCCGATTTTTCTTAAAGGGCGGGCAGAATAAAAAAAACCTAAACCTCGTATGAAATTGAGGCAAAGTTTATTATCTTTGACATTAAATTATCTTCTATTTAAACTAAAAAATCTCAGAAAAGTTAAATTTGAGCATATGTTTAAATGACATAAAGTAGCATTTTTTTTAGTCAAACAACACTTTTTTCAAATTTTTAGAAATTTTAGATTTTTAGACTTTTTTTTGGAATTTTCATAGTTTCACTTGAACATACGTTTTTAATATATATGAATATCTTTAAATTTTTTGTTTCCCATAAAAATTGCGGCCTGCATACTGCCCGCCGTCCGACAAATGCACCCGCGAAATTCGGGCAATTACTTCTCTAAGGCAGAATACCAAAGAATTCGTATCCAAAAAATTTTCGGGTGATGTTAAAATATATAACTATAAACCCTAGATATTTCGCTTTGATCAACGATTTCTTTGTCTCCCAAAAAACAGCAGGTTCTTCCTTAAATATCCGCATTTTTTCCAAAACTCAATATTTAAGAATTTTCGTGTTTTATACTTACAGAAATAAAGTTACATCAATTGGTAACAATAAAATAACTTGATTTCTTAACTTACATTTCAAATCTGTGTGCGACTATCTTCCGGATTTGTTTCTGACAGCAAAACCGATAAAATTGATTTCTCTGACACCCAAAACCCAAACTCTGTTTCGAATATCAAACCAATAATATCTACCTACTGCTTTTTTTGATCGGTTTCAATTCTGATTCCTACAACTATCAGACTCCACAACACCCCTGATTATTTCGGTCAAATATGTATATATTTATTTAGTTCTCCAAAAAAATTTTGATTTCAAAAATGTTTCTGCTATTTTTTGCGATTGACTTAAATACCTTCGCTTCAAATTTGGCAAGATTCACATACAAACTTTGGGTTTTAAAGTCACTTATGTGCAATAAAGTGCAAAAGTTAATTAGAATTTATGGAGTCTCTAATTTCACGGTTTCTATATTGGGTTGTCAAAAAAGTCTTGCGGTATTTTCGCTAATTGGCACTGAGAGCGCGTAGTTCTAGTTTTATTCGTCGCATCGGGTCATGTTATACTTTTTTGGAAAGCACATTTCACGTGCTAACACGTGTTTGATTGATTGTCGTTTTATTTAAGCCGTTCGTGAGTTATAGCGTCGCAAACATGGAGCAAAATAAAGAGAAAATACGGCATATTTAACAGTACTACTACGATAAAGCCGCCAATAAAATTTGTGCAGTTTATGGACCCGATAGAATTTCCATTTCCACCGCACAACGATGGTTTCAACGCTTCTTTCTGGTGTAGAGGTGGTCGAAGATGCGCGACGCTCCGGAAGGCCTGTCGTCGAAAATTGTGATAAAATCGCTGAATTGATCGGAAGAGGCCGGAATAGTAGCAGCCGCAGCATCTGTCAAGAGCTGGGCATGTCATCAAAAAAAATGTTATGAACAATTGAACATTCAATAAAAATACCGCAAGACTTTTTTGAGTTCCAAAAAGAAAAAGTATTAACAAATATAATCATCAAATAATTTTTATTTTAAAAAATTGTAAGCAAAACATTTGGAGCCAGCTAATTATCTGGAATGCATAATTAACTAAATAATAATTTTTTGTATTTCGTAGTACTGTTAGTATGGCGATTGGTTCAATGATGTCAAGGTTGTCGTAACCTTTTATTGTATGAACGTTGTTGAACATACATACATATGTATGCTATGCAAAAATATATATTTTTGTGGAAAAGAAATAGATATACACACCTGCTCAAAATAATAGTTACACAATACTTTTTCAAGTAAAGCTCATGAATAAAAAGTTATATTTAAATTTTTAAGAAAAACGCAAACGTACTTATATTTTTCAAATATTTACAAGCTTCTTTAAATAAACTTTATTTAAAAAAAAAGCAAACCAAACAAATGTAGATCCAAAACATTTCATAGCTAAAATAAACTTGCTCAAAAAATATGTACACTTTTAATAAGACAATTATTTTGGGAAAATAAATTATGATAAAACAGTTGTATATTTAGCATTACTCAGTTAATAGCCAGTATATTCACCAATATTCTGTATTACTTTATTTATTCGTTTGGCCATACTACTGATTAAAGTCTGACAGTTTTCTTTAGGTATCTCTTACCAAGTTTTTTGTATGCACTCCCTTAACTGGTCTTTGTTAGATATATATTTTTTTAACCAGTTTGGAGGTATGTTTTGGGTCATTATCTTGATTATATACCCAACGTAATGGGAAGTTTTCTTCAGCATAGGGTATCATGACATTTTCAAGTATTTCCTTGTACTCCGACGCTGTCATTTTGTTAGTTGCCGGTATGGTATGTAGGATGTACTCCATACCAAGAAAAACTTTACCACACCATGACGTTTCCACATCCATGCTTTACATTTTTTTTTTTTTTTGTGAATAGAACGTGAAACTCTTTTCCTTATGGACGACGCACATTTCTCTCAATCGTTTCCAAACAAATTTACTTTCGTTTCATCGCTCCATAAAATGTTTCTCCACTTTTTTGTTCCCTCAGGTCCAATCTAAATGACTTCTTGCAAAATTTAACCTCATCTCTAAATTTTTTGGTCGCATTAATGGAACTTTCTGGCTATACGTCCTGGTGGCTTGGCCTTTTGCGAACTGTTTGGGCACTTACTACATTTCCAATTTATCACCTTCCACGACTTGAATGGGTCCTTTTTTTTCAAATAGTTACAATGTGGTGATCAAGAACTGTACTCGTTTTTTGTGGCCTTCCACGAGTTTCCCTACTAGATTTTCGCTCTAAAGCATTTTTAACAAARTTATGAGACCTTTCCATTAATTTCCCAATTTCCCGAAACGATTTTCCTTGCTTTCTGAGGTTTGAAACAAGCCGGGCTCCTTCAACATTGCAATGTGGCTTCCGACCCATTTGATTAAAAAATAATTTAATTTATCTGCAGCATTTTGAGCTTTATTGAAAGAAAACTTACCAATTCAGATAAAAAAAACTTGAAAAAACTGGATAAAATTAATTTTGTTTTCGCAAAAAGCTAAGTTCACTTATGTGTAACTATTATATTGAGCCATTTTTTTCTGAGAATTCACGCAAAAACTGACACACACATTAATTCGGGGAATCACATGTTTCATTCTCTTAGAAAGGGCGATGCCATATTATCTTAATTAAACTTACAGCATAACCATACAGCCCATAAACAGTTTTTTTATACTGTTGAAAGTACTAAGTTTTATCGTGTAACTATTATTTTGAGCAGGTGTGTATGTATATAACAAAAGAACATCGAATTTCACCGCTAGCAAGTCGGAACACCTATTAGAACTAGTGGAAATACGAATCGGATTCCACTTTTTTTCACAAAAAATAATTTCTTATTATTCTTTTGGCTAATAACTGAAAATTCAAAACAAAAATCAGCTGTTACTTAAGCACTGCCTAAGTCTCCCATTTTAAATACTTACGTATGAACTGTAAAACACTATTTTCCTGTTCTATCTTAAGCACAACTTAAGTATGGACTGTGAAACCGGGCATTAAAGGATTGTTTTCATGGAAAAAATCAATATTTTTTAGAGCAAAATGCAATGTTGAAGATTTAATTGCTTGATGCAAAATACCACTATTATATACATACATTTGAAAAGAAACATGATTTGGGCAGGATTTAAAATGAGCTCTTTACATTGGATATCTTTTTTTTGCAAAAATAATTAACTTGAAAATATAATGGACACTAATGAGATGTCTGATGATCTTAGGCTTTACGAACGGAAATAAATGCTTTGTAAGACAAGTTGCCGACAGAAATTTTTGAACACGATAAGGTAAAAATAGTAAGGTATAATTTAGTAAAACAAATCTCAAATGATCGAATTTACTTCTACACATTCTAACTAAATGACATTTTGCGAAAATTAAGCGAATGGAAATAACGTATTATTTTTATTATGACTTTTCTTTATATTACAGCAAAAGAAGGACCTGTTCATTGCGTTAAATGGAGCCCAAAGGCAACTGAATTCGTTGTGGTTTACGGATTTATGCCATCTAAGGCAGCACTTTACAACTTGAAATGTGATGTTATTTTCGATTTCGGAGAGGGTCCACGAAATTGTGCTTATTTTAATTCATTCGGAAATCATATCCTTTTCAAAAATATTTTATATAACTTGTTTTTGTGATTTAATCTTTAAATATTAGATTTTCTTAACTACTTCGCACTTCTAGCTTTAGCAGGTTTTGGTAATTTGCCTGGAAACGTTGAAATATGGGATACTAAGAAAAGAGAAATCGTTACAAATATAAAATGTCCTGATACAACATACTTTGAATGGAACCCTAATGGAATGTACTTTGCTACAGCAACAACAGCTCCAAGACTACGGATAGGCAACGGGTACGTAAACCAGATCTCTTCCGTTCTACTCTCAATTTTTAATGTACATACTATACATCTATTTATTATTTTTGATTGCTTGCAATCGGAAAATTGATTGAAGTTATTTTTACGCATCATTTATCAGGCATAAAAGATGCACTACAAAGTACTAACAATTTTTCTATTGGTTTTTTTATAAAAATTATAATAATAATTTTTTTTTTTTTTTTGTAAGATATTCTGATTTTATTTTTTTGTCCTCCGAATTTTTGGAATATGTATTTTAGCTTTGTTTTTGTAATATTTATGAATTGGTTTTTCCAATATTTTTACTGCGTCCAATAGCCCATAACATCAAGTAAATAATTAAAACATATTTTAGTTAAATTTAAATCAAATTCATATTCATTTTAGAACGGAAAATTAGTACCATTGTTGATTCTATACAATAAATTGTCCGTAACTGTATGTAATCTTCCTCATACAATCGGGATTACAATTAATTCATTAAAAAATTATTGAATTAACATTTTAATTTTTTTGTGTTGATTGAGAAAAATATATCGTCACCTGAAATGCAACATTTTCGGAAATTTATAGTGGCATGAATGAAACACGAAATAAAATGGAACATGAGTGAAACAAAATTTTAATATTGGTTAAAACTGGTTTATATCTGACCGCAGAACCTGAAAATGTTGAACATAGGTAATATTATTTATGTATTATGAAGTAGTGAAGCGTAATCAATAAGACACTCAATTTCGAATTTTTTGATGATACGTTATTTTGCATTTCAGGTGACGATATATATAATACATATTTAATCATATAATGAAGTTAAAAATAAAATATCATGTTTTTCGATTTGACCAAGAGCTCTCTCAGATTCATCTAGTCGGCCAACTTACAAATTCAAACGATTTAAATTCTATCAATTGTCTCACTAAATAAATACATACATCAGAAACAGTAAATTATTTTGCCTACAAACTAACTTCCTTAAAAAATTTGAATAGTCTTTTCTTTATAAATTGACTTTACTTTTAGGTTTAAGGTTTATCACTATTCAGGATCATTAGTGCATGAAACTATATGGCCACAAGGACAAGAGCTTTTGGGAATTGAATGGCAAAAATATCCCGAAAATCAATTTGCGGAACCGGTGATAACTAAAATAAAACCCGAAGGAATTAAATCGAGTTTACCAGTAGCAAGTAAAAAAGCATACACTCCTCCTCATCTTCGAATGATCAAAGAGGGAAAAAACCCAGAGCAATTTATGCCGCGTTCACAAGTTAAAGTTAATTCAACACAAGCAGGTAATTTTCATATCACTTAATGATTTTTTCTAAACAACCAAGAGAAGGCAGAAATACAGAATAAACAGTACGAAATCTCTTCATTAACTAATTTTATGTATTGATGTAGCAATACCTTGAGGTGGATAATGTTTGTTAATTATATGGGATCTAGGCCGACTGTTTACCATTATCCATTTTAATTAAAAAGAAGCATCGTTATTAGAAAAACACACTCCCTCAATTTCATTAAGATAACGCACATCCGATATATGTGGTATCAACTGGAAGTTCGAGAATCTTTCAATTAGGTAATATATGGGGGCTAAAGAAATTATTAATCTAATTCAATCCATTTTTGATATACTATTATTAGAAAGAATTGGTACATAGGAATGCCAAGGTATATACCAAATTTGGTCAATAACAGTCGAGTAGGTCCTGAGATATACAGCTATGGACAGAGATTTAGCGCACTTGCATTCATAATTAGAAGTATTACCGTCACTATTAAGAGAGCGATATTTTCATGAATTTGTTATTAGTATATCGATACTGCTTCTGTCGCCTCTTTAAATGCGTGGAAAATAACCGTTATCATTTCCCCTCAGATACCGTTAATTTGTTTTTGTTAAATTTCGTCAAAAATTCGTTGGACAATGATTTAGCGCAGTTAAAGTTTTTGGTCATTAGTTGTGTTTGGTCCAACAAAGAATTAATCTCAGTTGTAAACTTGTTTCAATAGTTTTAGATAGATAGATAGATAAATAATTGAGGAATGCACTGCGACCTTA